CAGAACATGGGAGGAGTGAGACGTGGGTGTAATGGTGGTGCAGTGCTCCGACGAAGGGGAGATGCTATGATGGTGGTGTAGCGGTTCTGATGTCATCTCGACTAATGTCACACCCCCGAACCAGACGGCGGAAACGTCTGGGGGCTTGATGTGACTTTCAACATTGTAGTATCATTACAGAGTATATAATTGAAACATAACATCATCATCATCACACATGTAATATAACAACATTCATTGTTTACATTGAGTATTGTATTTGAATATTACATGCCAAAATAGTCAGAGTATGATGAAACAAAATATCCATTAGTTTGTTTCGTTCATCCTGCTTCAACAGTTTCTTGAGAATACAAGTTAATTTGAAAACGGTCAACATAAAAATGTTGGTGGCTTCATAAGCATGTTTGTGAAAATGATTTGTATAGCTTTGAAACCACCAGAAAATCCTATATTTTCTGCAAACTGTTTAGTATGTTTGTGTCAGATCTTGTATTAATGCATGTATGTTATTGTTTATTTGACTAAAAGGGTAAAGAGAATGTAGAGAGAATGTAAAGGGCATGTAAAGAGAATGTTTCTAGACAACTCGATGTTGTCTGTAAAAGAGAAAGCTGCCATACCAACCCCCGAAGTTGAGTACCAGTATGAGTATGTTTCCGAGTAATCCAAGAGAAAAGAGAATGGTCTTCCGTAAACTTCATAACGTTAATTCCTCTAAGTGAGCCGTCATAACCATACTAAATAAAGACAATTTCGCCTGTCTTGGCGTTGTTGGACGCCAGTTTTGATTATAAGATTTTCGTCACCCTAGACTGAGTTAGTCTAACTGTAGCGAACAACTCAGGTGTGGGGTGTCATCCCCGTATAGATCTATACACAAATCTCCGCTCTCCTTCCAAGAGACTCTGATTATAACTACATGCTACGATCGTACACTTAATAGGTGTCAATCGACAAAACTCACTAGATCCTTAATCGAATTTACGCGAAGAAAAGTATAAACTCATTCCAGACCCAATGAACCATGTAAGTGAACCACTAAGGCATCGCTAAACATGTAAATCATTTCAAGGCCCACTTGGAATGATATTATATAACATGGGCCCGAAATATATATGAAATGACAACTAAGGCCCATTTCACATGTAAGGTATTTATAGGCCCAAATAGCACACAAATAGTATCCAAGGTTCGTCGCACATGTTAATGGGTCAATGAGACCCAATAAACATATAAATAATATACAAGACCTATCAAACATATAAATGGGCCACTAAGGCCCAATAACCTAGAAAATGATCAAATTAATCCGTTTGTTAGTTTATCGTTGGTTTTGGTTCAAGTATTCACTAAAATAGCATAAAAGCCCACTTTTGTAAAAATGACGTTCTTGGCTCAATAAGCCAAAAATTTACAGTTAAGGCCCAATCTTAGTAAAAATAACACTTTAGTCCCCATTTTATTCAAAACTTGTATTTATGGCTAGTTGTTGGTAAAAATAACCTTTCTAACCCATTTTTGTCAAAAATATCCTTTTTGGCTTCATTTTTGTGAAAATACACATTTTTCTTGTTTTTGAGCTTTTCGGACCTAGTTGTTGGAAAATTTGTAGAAAAATCATCGTAAGTCGAAATTTGGATCCGTAAATTCTGGAAGTTTGGAAATTTTGTCTACTTTGTTCAAAATTTTTCTAAGAATTTTTAATGGCTTCTAACAAGCGTGAAATTGCTCACCTTCACAGGCTGGTCCGAAATTATTTCAAATCTGATAGGCAGTTTTGAAAAATTCACCAAAAATTGTAGAAAAATCGTATGAAAACGTGAGAGTAGTCATTTTAAAGGTATAAACTTGAACTTTTTGCATGTAAAACAGTTTTGAAACATATTATCATTTAGGTGGTCAAAACAGTTCGAGATTGGACCAAAACGTTTCTGTGAAGGGCTGATTTTTGAGTTTAGTTTATAGATCTTGAAACACAACACTCATTTTTACTATTTTAAGTGTATAAATCCCAGATCTACTAGTTTACATGTATTATATGTGATAACACATACTTTTCTCAAGATTTTCATGTAGATCCAAGTGATAAACTTCATATTCTTAACATATTGGTTTTCATGTAGATCCAAGTGATAAACTTCATATTCTTAACATATTTTTAGATTTATGAAGTAAATAACACATAATCACCAAATAAATCATGAAAAACACACATATTCATGCATACAGACATAGATCTACACAATACAACTTGTATTCTCCCCCAAAACAAAGTAAAAATCGAAAATAGGGGGTATGAACTCACCTTGGGGGTTTTTGAGATGTAGATGAAGAAGAAGAAAGATTTTTTTGAACCTAACTTGAGTTCTTGGTGAGATTCTTGAAATGTGGGTGTTCTAATGGGCCATAAACACGAAAATGAGGTTGTAAGAAGAATGATCTTAGTATAATCTTGAAATAAAGCACCTTGAGTTTAACCTAGAACTTACCAAGATGATAATACTTAATGCAAAGCTCTTGAAATCCCCCACCAAAGTCACGATTTTTAGATGAGAAAAGGAAGAACTTCTTTGTGTTCTAGAGAGGGATATGAGAGAGTTCTTTTGTTGTTTGAAGGGAAGAATGAGGTGAAATGGGGAGGGTTGGGCCGAGATATGGAGAGGGGAGAGGAGGGTGTGGCTTGGAAACATGTGAGGTAATACCCTATTGCCTAGATGTATGAAGGTTATTTCATGTTTATTTGTGGTGTAATATTGAGGTGTCAACCTCTTTATCCACCATAATTCTTCTTTTTTTTTTTATATAAAGGCCCAACCAAATCAAGGAGATTCTTTGGCCCAAGGAAAAGCCCAACGAGATTTTCGGCCCAATGAGGCCTAAGGAAAGCGTTCTCGGTCCAATAACTTGGAATAATTTCTTGTGGCCCAATAAGAAGGGTTCGGTCCATTAAGAGTGTTTTAGCCCAAAAAAATTGCTAAGATGGAGTATTGGGTCTTGAACCTCTTGAGTGTGTTTGGATTTCAAATGAATGATTTTGATTGAGCATCGTATATGATATACACTTAGAGTACAAGTTTTAAAATAGATGATGTTTACATGAGAGTAGAATTCCCTAGCAAAAATGCTAGTTGTGACAACTAATGGGTATCTTTCTAGAGGGAATACGATAAAATAGAGAGAAAGAGAGGATTTTCTAATGAAAGTGTGGGGTTTCACTATTGGAGATGAGGGTGGCGACGATGACAATTGCAAATGAGACGTGGGGTTTTGGAGAGGTGGTGACTGTGGTGAAATGCGGTTCGGGATAAAGGGTCAGAGAGAACAGGAGTTGGGTATTGAACTACAAAATACCGAATCCCTTTAAATCTTGGCTTCAGTTGACTCACTCAAGGGATTAAAGGGTGGGTCAAAATTCCTCCACTGGGTAAAGAAGTATTTGCATGGATTAGTTGTACTTTTAACTTGTAGGTTTGGATGATTTCAAATTTTAAAATTTTGAATAAAGTCGGAATTTAGGGAAGGAAATAAGATTTGCTGGGAAATATAAGAATTCAAAATATGGGTTAAAATTTAATCCTATTTTAGTTGTGATACTTGTACTATTAGCTTAATTATTTGAACGTATTAAATTATTTTAAGGAATAGTAACGTTTGTATATATATATATATATATATATATATATATATATATATATATATATATATATATATATTCTCAAAAGCTTAAGGAATTATAAAGTTCTTTTGTTTTAGACATTTGCCATTAAAATTTTCCATTCTTATACTTTTGGTCCCTTATTACAAAAGTTTGTGGTCTTCAAAATTTAACCAAATAAATAGAAAATGGACATGATAAAGCTTTGAATTATACTTATCAATCTGTTCGAACAAGCCCTGAACTTTTTCTCTGGATGATCCTCCGTTCTAGATGTCAAAGTCTAAGAAGGGTGTCCACATTCACAAGGGTTTGTATCTTCAAATATTTTCTTAGAGGAAGAAGAATAAGTATCCATTACGAGAGATCAAACACAAACATCGTTCGTTTTTCTCTTTTCCAAGCCCGATATATAAATAGCAATTTTAATATATTTATTCAATGTCATTAAATATAATGCCATGTCATTTGCCAACTAATTGTATACCTAATGAATCTAGTTGCCTTTAATGAGAATTGAACAAAAGTGTAAGCCCGTTTAGTTTTTTAGACAAAAGGTTAAGTTCTTTGGGTTTTTTCGAACATACAAAACATGATTGAGGTTTTTTGAACGGTTTCGAAACTTTGTTGGTCTTACAAGTCATTTTTTCGATATTTAAGTCCACGTCATAAGCCATGCCATTCGTTGATTTTCATTAGCCGGTTGACGCTAATGAGAATTGAACAAAAGTGTAAGTGAATTAGGATTTTTAGACAAAAGGTTAAGTTCGTTGGGTTGTCTTGAACAAACAAAACATAATTGGGGTTTTTTTGAACGGTTTGGTAACTTCGTTGGGCTTATAAGTCATTTTCCCTTCATATGGAGCATCACATCTCGGAAACATGCTGTTAGCTTATGATGGAAACAAAATCGCATGTTTTCTGCAGGGCTATTACCATTTGAATCCCAAGAGTTTTCTGTTAAACTCACCCAACAAAACGGGTATAAGTATTACTTTCTTTCCAATATCAGGTTTTTTAAATACTTCTTTTCAAATTGTAATTTGTTTTATACACATATATTGTAGGTGGGAAAAGGAATTCAAAATCAACATCAAATTTGCAGCTAGAAAGGATATGAACCATCTGAAACAATTTTGAAGTCGTGGACACCATGATAATCCCCATGAAACTATCCAAGCTCTTGATGTTGTTTTAAGTGATTGTTTACAAGGGTAACAATTAAGTGTCATAATATATCTTTTCTCATTAAACTCTCAATAGGTTCTAATTGTTTTTACATGAATTGTTTGTAGGAGGAAAGCACTTGATAGATCATTGTTTAGTCGAGAATTTGGGACAAATGTTCTTGGTGATGGTGTTGAGTTTTGGAAAATGGTTTTATCAAACTCTAAGACCAACTCAAATGGGCTTGTCACTTAACCTGGGTATGTATTTGTATTTGTATATATTTTGATTATATATTTGTATATATTTTAATCATCAACCATTCTAAATTAATATAAATCTTACATATATGTTAGCTTGTGCTTTTTATGAACCTAAGTTAGTTACTGAGTTTGTTGGTGAATTTCTACATAAGGATATATCGAGACCACTATCGGACCAAGATCGTATCAAGGTACAAACAAGGAAAGTATTTTTTTTTACCAATCTTAAAAAGTTGTTTTTTAGTGATAATTTATTATTTCCCTTTCAAGTAAAGACAACATTGAGAGGGGTAAGAGTGGAAGTTAGGAGACATGATTACATGAGACATTACAAGGTTGATTCTTTAACAGTTCAACCAACTAGGAGACATGATTACATGAGACATTACAAGGTTCATTTGTTAACAGTCCAACCAACTAAACAACTAACGTAAGCTTCAATTCAAATAAACATTTTTTTTTAAAGTTTTTGTGTTTTTTTTTTTAACTTTTTTGTTATTAAATCTTGTTAGATTTATTGTTCATGACACTAGAGCGACAATATCTCTTGTTGAGTATTATTGGGGGAAATACAACATTAATCTTCGGTTTCCACACCTTCCAGCAATCCAAGCTGGCACAAATACTAAACCGATCTATCTACCAATGGAGGTCTGTTGTTATAATTTATGAGAGATCATGATTCTTCCACTTAAGAAATTGATTTCTACTGTGGATAAATCAATTTCTTGAATGGAAAATCACATTCTTTTTGTATAGGATTAATTAAAAATAATTGTAAATTAAAATGTAACTTTGTTGGAGTAAAGATTTGTAGCATTGTAAGTGGTGTACGATATGATGAGAAGTTGAATGGAAAACAAGTAATCAACTTTCTTAAGGCCACGTGTTAGCGCCCAGGGAGCAAAGCATCCATAAGGTATTCTATAAATTCCAACCATTGATTGAAATCCATTTATTTATTTATAATTTGGTGCACATGTTTTAATTTGCAGACCATGGAGAGTAATCTTCATCTTCATATCTATCTCTTTTAATAAATGAAACTTAAAAATGACATGTGTTAGTTTTTTAAAATGCATTTTTGACACGTGACATTTTTTTATGATTTTTATTATTATTATTTTTTTTTGGTAACAAATCAAATTCAATCCAAAATTTGAAAATACAAAATCTTATCCTAATAACATTATTATTTTATTTTGCTTAACAAATTAATTCATAATTACTTACAATCCACAATATCTTGGTTTTTTTTTACATTTATTATTATTATTATTTATATAGAAATTTTAAATATACCGACTGTGGTTTTCACGGGTTATAACCTAGTATTCTAATAAAAGAATAATTTTATTCTCCTTTTGTCATGTGTCATCATATTATACTTTCTAATTAATGTTATGCCACTTGTCAACCTATTGATTTTCCATTTCAAATTTTAAATTTCTCATTCTAATTATATTAAATCAATAATATTAGAATAAAAATTAAAATAAAATTAATACAAATTATAAGGTGATATAATTTCATATATTTATTTAAACCAACGATTATAATTTTATATAACTAAAAAATATCTCTTAATTAATAATTTATGTAAAATAATTTATTTAAAATAATTGATTAACAATTTTGTGTTTTTACTACGAAAGTTTAATTAATTTTGTAACCACGGTTTCCAAGAGTTATAAACTAATAATTACAATAAAATAAGCTTGTAGTCAAAGGTTTTGGAATGCATATGTACACGAGCAGCTTACTTCAATTGAAGCACACATTATTCCACCTCCATATGTAACTAACTTCTCTAACACCTTTTTTTACAAGCATTTATCTCTTATTTTTATTTTTATAAATTTTCATTTTATCTTTCAGATCAAGTATGAAGTATGAAGGGTGTGGGCCTTTATCAAATGTCTTTCCAGCAGCCGGACGATGGCATAAGTGACCATGTTGCATTTGGACAATTTAAACTTTTCCCATTCTTTAATGTATAATGATTCTTATTTCTGTGTAGAAAATGCGCCTAGGAGGTAGTTTGGATTTCTGGGCTGTCATCAACTTTTCACGTCACGGGGAAGTTGCGGTTAGGCCAAGAATTACTAAGGTGCTTTTTGTTTTTTTTTAGACAAAATGTCTGCAGTCTGCGGACCACATCCGTAGACCTCTGCAGTAGACGAGGTGGACCAAACGTCTGCAGTCTGAAAAAAGAAGATTTTTTTTTAACATCTGCAGGCTACTAAAATAAGTTAAAATCTAAATAAATTGTTTTTTTTAAACTTCAAAATGATTTTTTTTATATTTTTATGACTTTGTTATAAATCTAAATAAACTAAAATCTAATATTTTTATGATTTTTTAATATTTCAAAGTGATTTTTTAATATTTTTATGACTTTGTTTTTTTAACATATGCAAACTATTAAAATAAACTAAAATCTAATTAAACTGATTTTTTTAAACTTCAAAGTGATTTTAATATTTTTATGACTTTGTTATAAATAATTAACAAAACTAGATCAACTTTTATGTATTATTGTATAAAAAGTGAAAATAAAAATGGTACGAATTAACGTATATATTTGATAAAAACGAACAATTTTGGTTGCAAAGTTATACCTAAACATTGTAATTAGGAATCAAAGACTTTGATACATAAATGGATGGATATAAACTTCGATTCTCTCAATTAAATCAATTAAAAACGTACCATAAATATTTTCCCAAGAAATTGACGATACTCTATGAAATAATGTTTTATAAAATTTGACACAAAAGTATAAGAATATATTATGATTTTTTTTTCACATTTATATAAACAACTTTAACGACCATTATTGTAATAAATCTTTATATATAAATTTGTCAAAAGTATCATGTTTGTGTCATCAAACATTTTTTATAAAGTATTTTTTTTAAAAAAAAAATTGTTTATCATTAATAAAGTTGGAAATGAATATAAATTAAAAAAACTAAAAAATAAAGATATATGTGTTTTTTAGGCTAGAATATGTCTGAAAATGTTAGAAGACTTTGATCCACATCTGCGCTAAGAAGAGGGCGGGCAAACATTTTTAGGTCTGTAGTCTTCAAAAAAACAAACAGTCTGCGAACGCTAATTTCTGCGCGTAGTCTGTACGACGCAGACAAAAGAGGTCAAGAAGATCTGCAGACAAAAAACAAACAAAACCTAAATATAAAGAAAGAAAAGAGATCATTTGTTGGTGATTTGTTTCACTAATGTGATTTAAGTGTAATGGGATTACTTTGTTGACCAAAAGTGATATTGATAAATATTAAACAAGTAAGGAAGGTGTGGAGTGCACACTTGTTTAAGTTTATTCAAGATTAAAAGTAGACTGTCATTTAGGGGCGAAGCCCCTGAACGAACGGGGGTCCGGGGGCAGCGCCCCTGGGAGCGGGGTCCAAGGGGCGACAGCCCCTGGCTGGGATCGAAAATGCATCAGAAATCCAAATTTAGAATATTTGACCCGTTTTTTGACTTGGTATTAATCCTTATAGAAAACCCGGATTTATGACCGTTTTTTTACTGTTGCCAAACTGTTTTATGACAGTTTTCAGACAAAGAAGGTATTTAACCAATTGTGGTCAGTTTTTTCTGGTACTTACGAAATTCATATATCTCATTCTCTGTTCTTTTTCTCTTCTGAGTCTTATCCAATCAAAGATTAGGGAGTACCACCCAATAGTTTGATTTGGTAGTGAAATCACAATTCTCAGAATTTCCAAGGCTATTTTATCCCGATTCTCTTACATCATTGAGGATCTCTACTCAACAACTAGCGATGCAAACGGGTGGTGTGGTTCATTCAGGACTAATTATAGAGCTTCTGATTTCATTCTATAATTCAACAAGTCATAAACCGCATAGAATAATATTCTACAGGTATGTATGACAACACATTAATTTCCTCCATTTTTGGTATAATTATTAGTATTTTAATCATGTCATTACCGATACTTGTATCACAGGGATGAAGTTGGTAAATGACAGTTCAATGAGGTTTTGATGAACGAGATGGACAAAATCAGAAAGGCATTTGGTTTTACTTTTTATGATATAAAACTTGAACCTTTTGTGTCTCTATGTGTTTGTGTATTATAACTAGTTCTTTGTAATGATGTTTCAGGCGTGTGCATCATTGGAGGAAGGGTATTTGCCTCCTGTTACATTTGTTGTAGTTCAAAAGAGGCATCACATGTTGGAATCAACCCTATTAACCTGATGCAAGACAGAAAACAGAGCACAAAGAGGAAAGAACAGGGGAAGCTTTTGGGGCCAATTTTTCTGATTTTTATTCCAGTGCATACATTCACGAAAAAGGAAAACTTCCTACTTAACAAAGTAAATCCCTAGAAACTAGCAACTGAACTACCCATTTGCTACGTCTACTAAAGAAAAGGACTTTATGGCCAACATGGCCTTTTACTTATTCAAATTAAAGCAATGGACGAAAATACCCCTGCAGTGAATTTCTTTCATTTGAGCACGTTGGATTAAATCCAACATACTCTCCCTTAATCCAAAGTGTTCAAGTCAAGTTCATCCTTCCAACTTCGGAACTTATTACCTGTTTTACACCCAACAGGTCTCTCAATTTTAGGAACTGTGCTTTTCCCATTGATTTAGTGAGGATATCTGCCTTTTGCTCTTTGCTGCATATGTATTGGACCTCTATGTCTCCTCTTTCCACACACTCACGTATGAAGTGATACCTCGTGTGTATATGTTTGCTTCTCCCGTGGAAGACAAGATTCTTTGTTAGATGCAGGGCCGACTTGTTATCAATGTATAAGACAGGTGCCTTGATGTTAGAACCAGTAATTTCACTTAGTAAGCGTTTGATCCAGATTCCTTGACATGTGGCTGTAGTAGCTGCCATAAATTCCGCCTCACACGAAGATAGAGCAACGCATCATTGTTTATGAGATCCCCAGGTAACCAGGTTCTCATTTAGGTAGTAATCCATTCCACCCGTGCTTCTTGCATCATTTACATCTCTTGCATGATCACTATCTGTGTACCTGGTGATGATGGTTTCTTTGCTGCCTCTAGTGTAAACTAGACTGTGGTCCATGGTCCATTTCACATACCTCAAGATATGTTTGACAGCCTTCATGTGTTGAAGTGTGGGTCTCTCCATGAATCTGCTTACTAAACCAACATCATAGCTTATGTCAGGTCGAGTATGAGTTAAGTATCTCAGTACACCAACCACACTTCTGTAATCTGTGACATTTACTTCTTCTCCCTCTTCATATTTTGTTAGTTCCAACTTAGGCTCCATAGGGTATTTGCAAGGATTTCAATCTATCATGTCTGTCTTCACAAGTATATTCTTTGCATATGCAACTTGCTTCAAAGTGACTGCACCATCATGTTGGTTTACCTCAATACCAAGGTAATAAGAGAGCATCCCCAGGTCACTCATTTCAAATTTCTTTCTCATCTGCTCCTTGAAGTGTTCCACTTCTAGATTAGAATCACATGTTACAATGAGGCCGTCAACGTACACACCAACAATCAATAACTTTCCATTCTTGTTTCTTGTGTATACAGAATACTCGTATGGGCACCTTTTGAACCCAAGTTGTTTTAGACAACCATCAAGCTTCGAATTCCAAGCCCTAGGTGCTTGGCGCAAGCCATATAAGGCTTTGGACAACCTGTACACCTTATTTTCTTGACCTTTTTTCACAAATCCCTCCGGTTGAATCACATACACCTCTTCTTCTAGTTCCCCATTTAGGAATGCTGATTTCACATCCTGGTGGTGTACTTTCCAACCGTTCTTTGCAGCGAGTCCAAGTAAGATCCGAACCGTTTCTATTCGAGCTACAGGGGCAAACACCTCGTCAAAATCGACACCTGCCTTTTGTACATACCCCTTCGCGACCAAGCGCGCCTTATACTTCAATACCTGTCCTCTTGGATCCTTTTTCACCTTGTAGACCCATTTGAGCCCTATTGGTTTTCTACCAGGTGGAAGGTCTACAAGGTTCCAAGTCTTGTTCTTTACTATAGCTTCTATTTCACTCTTCATAGCATCAATCCAATGATTCTCTTTGCTAGCCATGGCATATGTGACTGGTTCTTCGTCTTCATTCAAGAGTAAAATTTGTTCACACTCATCATATAAGTCGGTTAAGAGTCGGTACCTTTTGGGAGCTCCTCCACCAGTTGAACTAGAAACAACGCTTGTTGAACCGGTTGAGCTCATAGGGGTTATGGGAGAAGGTGGGGCTTCCTGTGGGCTCGGATGCATGGTGTTTCCTTATGAGGTGTCTTCGATTACATCTTCGTTCCCTTGGAAGTTCATACCATCACCCACATCAGGTGTTAGTGGATCTGTGTTGGCAACTTCATCTTCAACCTGATCAATTTGGTCTTCTACTTGTGGTGTTAGACCCTCAACTGTGAACGTGACACCTGGAGTATGTTTAAACTTTTCTGTAGTATCCCACGACCACATCTTATCTTCTTCAAAGTAAACTTCTCTACTTATACGGATTGATCCTGTGACCGGATCAAACAAACGATAAGCCTTCGTCCCTATTTCTGTTCCCAGGTGGACTAGTGGTTTGCTTCTATCACCGAGTTTGTGGAGATAACCTGTTTTTACCTTTGCATGTGCTACACATCCAAAAACTCTTAGATGCTCTATATTTGGTTTTCTCCTGGTCCACATATGATAAGGTGTTGCTTCTTCAAGGCCCTTCGTGGTTACCCTATTTAAGATATAGACTGCATTACATACAACTTCACCCCACAAAACATCAGGTACCTGCATAGCTTTTAACGAGCTTCTTGTCATCTCAACAACAGCCCGATTCTGTCTCTCCACGACTCCGTTTTGTTGGGGAGAAAACGGAGCCGTGTAGTGTCTTTGTAGACCCGTTTCTTCGCAATAAGAGGTGAATTCTTTTGAGAGGAATCCCCCCCACGATCTGTCCGGAACACCTTCATCCTTTCACCAGTTTCAACTTCTACCATTGCCCGGAATTTTTTGAACACACCAAACACTTGATCTTTTGATTGCACCAGGTAGACCCACATCACCCGACTAAAGTCATCAACGAGCAGAAAGAAATACTTGTTTCCTGCAGGTGTAGGTGGTGAGATTGGACCACAGAGGTCCCCGTGAATTAGTTCCAGTTTCCTGCGTGCCCTGAAATTTGTATGTGATGGGTAGGGTTTTTGAGCATGCTTACCCACCAAGCATCCTTCATATAATGCTGTGGGACTAATCATCTTTGGCAATCCCTGAACAATGCTTTTATCTGACATGAGTTTTAGTGTAGGATAACTTACATGACCCATACGTGCATTCCATAACTTTTCTGGTTCCTCCTTAGCCCCAAGAAAACACTTTGAACTAATGTCTTCTAATATAATTTTGTACAGACGATTAGAAGACATTTTAACTTTCATGAGAAGTTTGCCCTTTTTATCATGAATCCACAGGAATGATCCAATCATAACGATCCGATCACCACACTCAGCCAATTGTCCCAGACTTACAATATTACTGCACAAACTCGGTATGTAATATACCTCACGAAGTACACGATGTTAACCGTTCTTGCACCAGAACACGATTGAACCCCTTCCTTCAATGCGAACCCTTGATCCATCACCAAACTTCACTGAACCTTTGATGGATTGATTGAGTTCGCGAAAATTTTCTTTTTCACCTGTCATATGGTTACTTGCACCATTGTCCAAGTACCACATGTTTGATCTTCTTTGCTCATCACCTGCTGATCTCAAATTTGGATTCACTTTCTCTTCATTTAGATTCACTTCAAGAAACTTATTCTCTTCATTTGAGGCAGATAGCAAAAGTGCTGGTTCGTCATCATTGATTTCTCGAGCTAAATTGACTTCTTGATTCCTTTCACGTCTAGGATTTTGGCATTCTGCAGCGAAATGCCCAAAGTCTTGGCAGTTATAGCACTGAACTGTACTCTTATCCAGATTACTTGAATTACCCCGGTTTCCATCTCGCTGTTGATAACCGCCGCCTCTTCGTCGGCCTCCTCGACTACTAGAACCTCTACCGCGACCTCTTCCGCGACCCCTTGGATTGCTAGAAGTTCCTCTATGCGACTTGTTAGCATTCTTAGTAGAGTTTTCACTTTGCTTCTTATTCCTGTCAGACCACTCTTGATGGGTGAGCAAGAGTTTCTTTTCTTCTACTTCACCATGCCCTTTAATCCTCTCTTCATGAGCTTTTAATCTGCCTACTACTTCTTCAATAGTCATCACATCCAAGTATGCAAATTGTTCAATGGTGGATGCAATTTGAAGGAATTTGGATGGTACTGCACGAAGCATTTTCTTCGCGACATATGCTTCTTCAACTTTATCACCAAGGGCTCGAATATTACTTACAATATTGTTGATCTTGACAGGAAACTCGTCAACTGTTTCTGATTCTTTCATATTCAAAGCTTCAAATTCAGTCTTCAATGTTTGCACCCTTGCTGTCTTAACCCTATCTGACCCCAAGTACATTGTCTTCAAGGCATCCCATGCCTCCTTGGCCGTTTGCTTTTCTGACAACGATAACAAGAGATCTTCAGGAATCCCTTGATAGATGGCAGCCATCGCTAGTTTATCCTTCTTTACTTCAACTACGGTGTTGGCCGTTCTGGGCTCGACTGCTTCCCATACACCCTGGGCTTGCATGAAGACCTTCATCTTGATGGCCCATGCAGCGTAGTTGTTTCTTGAGAGCATAGGGTAGTGTAGAGTTATCTGGCCTTCCTTGTCACTTCTATCACCCATAGTTGTTTGTCGGGGTTGATATTTGGGCATAAACCGGGCTCTGATACCAAATGTTGGAATCAACCCTATTAACCTGATGCAAGACAGTAAACAGAGCACAAAGAGTAAAGAACAGGGGAAGCTTTTGGGGCCAAATTTTCTGATTTTTATTCCAGTGCATACATTCACGAAAAAGGAAAACTTCCTACTTAACAAAGTAAATCCCTAGAAACTAGCAACTGAACTACCCATTAGTTACGTCTACTAAAGAAAAGGACTTTATGGCCAACATGGCCTTTTACTTATTCAAATTAAAGCAATGGACGAAAATACCCCTGCAGTGAATTTCTTTCATTTGAACACGTTGGATTAAATCCAACATCACACACGCTTCTTCCCTATGAAGCATTTTGACAAGAATCACACTGATACCAATGGCAACATTTTTACAGGTTTCATGGTTACTGATTATGGGTTTTTTCAACTGATCTTCTTGTTAAATTTAATTTAATTTTTGCAGGGACTGTGGTTGATACCAAGATATGCCACCCAACTTAATTTGACTTCTACTTCTGCAGCCATGCTGCTATTCAGGTGAAATGTCATGTACTTATTACATGTATATATTAAGTAATTTTTAAGAGTTTAAAAGGTGTATTGCGTTGGATAATTCAATTTGGGTGTGTTTATTTGTAGGGAACGAGCATGCCAACACATTATCACGTGCTCTATGATGAAAACAAGTTAACTGCAGATGGGTTGCAGAATCTTACATCTAACTTATGCTTCACGTAGGTAATTCAACCAACCAGCTAACCCTATTAACCATTTTGATAAATTTCCTCCTAACATAACATAACTGGGTTTTCAACTTCAGGTACCAAAGGTGTACAAGATCTGTGTCCATAGGTATGATGTTTTTCATCAGCTGATGATCATTCATTCATATATAAATTAAAGTTGTTTGTGTGTTAATTTGCTATTACTCCTAGCTGTTTACTATGCACATTTGGCTGCGATTCATGCACGCTGCTACATGGAAGGTGGTGAGTTGTCTGATAGTGACCGGGTTGCTGAGGTGCATCTTGTCCCTATGATTCATGAGAATGTCAAGAGTGTCATGTACTACTGTTAACTTGTTGGAGGGTTTAGCTCTTTCGGGTAGATAATGGTAAGTAGCATATTTGTTTTTGGGTAATTAAATAATACAATGGAAGTAGACAAGCAGTAAAGGGTTTTTATTTTTGTGTCAAGTAATTAAGTACGCGCTCATGTAGATATGTTGGTTTTTAAAGTGCCTAAGGTTTTGGTTTCACATGGCTTCATTAGTTTTTGGGATGTTTACATCTAATCTTGAACAATGTTATTGCTTGAATCAATGCATGAATTCTATATCCTTTTAACTTTATAATCTTCAATCCTTTTACACCAGAGTAAAAACAACGTATTGGTGTGTTATATGTGAATAAAAAAGTTTTGAAATAAAACATATGAGATATAAACATTGGTTTCCTTTACACTTTATGAAATGTCTTGATTGCGCTACAATGTAATTAGGTTATGGGGAATAGTCACATCCAAGCCACCGGAAAAGCGCTGCCAACTCAGCGTCACGTCAGCTCCACCACCAACTCACTAGACATTGGAAATGATTACCACTCCATATCTCTCACACACACACACACACACACACACACATATATATATATATATATATATATATATATTAACGTTAGTTTAAATAAAAAAACATAATTATAAACTTAAGTAATCATTTACTAATTAAAAAATCAAATAAACATATTATTAATTTTTAAAATTAAATAAACATATATAGTTGTATATAGTTGAGGGTTTAACTTAATTGAAAGAAAAGTGAGAATGTATAATAAGATTAAAAAACACTATCTCAGGGACCAAATTTATAACTATATGAATTGTCTTCTTCACCCGTTTCTGAAAAACGGGTCATTGCTTAATACCACTTTTTTTTACTTCGGTGGATACAAAGGAAAAGGGAAAAAAGGGTCAAATACGTGATTGTTGTTGCTGCTGCTTTCTAATTCGTCCTCTTTGTCCGTCCTTGCACCCACGTCACACACAAACCACCGACCTTAGGGGCGGTGTTCACACGTCCTTAGGCCGGACAAATCAGCAAGACGCGTGGGTTAGTTCTCCCACTCCGGTTAGCCTTAATATAAGAGCTTTTCGTGGCTTGACATCTCCAAACATTTGGTCGTTCTTATGCTTCACAAAACCCACAAATTGTAAATCAAAAGAAGACATTTTTTTTCTGCAACATTGTAAGAAACAGATCCTATAAACTACAAAGAGTCGGTTTATCAATATTCCACCATCTAGCAATTTGGTTCCAAATAGAATTTGCCACTGGACACAAGAAAAAAAGATGTAAAATCTAAACATGCAACTCAAATAACACACAAGAAATTATCCACTTCAATTCCTTTCTTGTCCAAATTTTCTTTCTTCAAAACTTTATTAAGGTGAAAACATGAAGCTAACACGTTCACCTTAATAGGAACCAAATTATTTCATCTCATGGGTGATTGTTCAATAATGAATGTGATTTTATCAATATATCTTCGAGGCGAAGAAATCGAGAACTCACGTAAACCGTCTAAACTCCAAGACCATTGGATAATGTGACATGGTTCAAAAGATCCACAAGCGCGAGGACATGGTTCGATTTTCACTTTTTCAGCCCCTTCACTTGGCTGCGGCGCAAATTATTGGTCCACACAAGAGGCGGGAAATGATATTTTATGTAACACGATTGATATGGGTCAAAGACTAAAGACCCTACGAAATTGAGTTTTTAAATCCGTGAGTCCAAGCTACGTATCCTCCCAAAAACGCATTAACCTACCATTCCCAATCTTTTTAACGCAAAACTCATCAAGATCAATACATATGTCTTTTAGATTATTTTACAGATCCAAGAATACAATTCTACGATGTTAAGGCATTCCCTTGAAAAACTCAACTATTTAAATACCCACTGTCCTTGTAAACGATCTTAATCAAACAGACCCATAGAACTTGGGAGAATTCAAGAAACTCTTATTTCATTTATATAAAAATGTTTTCTCAAGGATTTTTCCATTTTATCCAAGTGAGTTTTCGTTAACCAATTTGACCACCCATATAAAAGTGATTTCTCATGGATTCCAACCTATTAATTATTATTTTCAGAGTACGAAAAATAGATAAGTAATAAGTTGATATACTCTCAAAGATGGATTTAAGCATAGTCATCCTTACCCCAACAAAAAACAATTTCATCTTCCAATTGGAAAGTTGGCTACAAATTTATCACCAACTGTTTTCCAGCGTTCACCCGTCGACATGTTAGCTCACATCGGAGACCTCCATAGATAAACGACATCCTCATAACCGAACACCCAATAGTCGGGCTAATTGTTTCACTCTGTGACCATTTCCTCAAACTTCCATTAATTTACTATTAACTAAATTAATTTTGATCCCCGAAGCAAGAAAGAAACATAGAAGTAGCTGAATAATACTTCACATATTTTCTTTTGACCATTAACCATATGCATAGAAAAACACGAGACTTCCATCAAAATACCTCCAACTTTACATCCCCGATAAACCCTTACTAATCGACTCTTGAATAACTATGCGGAGACCGTCCATAGCTAAATTAAAAAAGAAATGGTGAAAAGTATCACCTTGTTTAATTTTTAGAACTCGGATGTAGGTGACCCGTTAAAAAGGGGATCGACGCCATAGGAGATTGAAGACATGCTTTAACCTAACTACACCATTCATTACGAAAACTTTGTTAGAAAAATGGGGTATAGAAAGGCTTGGAATTCTGAGAATTGTGTTAAACACTTTCAGATTAAAGCATTTGGGTGGTACTCCCAATATTCTTTAATCGGATAAGACTCAGAGAGACAAGAACTTAGAATTTTTTGAAGATAGTTTCGTATGTACCAGAAATGAGACCAAAACCGACTATATGATCTTTGTCTGAAAACTGTCATATGACAGCTCGACCCCAGCCAGGGGCTGCCGCCCCTTGGACCTCGCTCCCAGGGGCGCTGCCCCCCGGACCCCCGTTCGTTTAGGGGCTTCACCCCTAAATGACAGTGTACTTTGAAACTTGATCAAACTTAAACAAGTGTGTACTCTACACCTTCCTTACTTGTTTAATATTTATCAAGATCTCTTTTGGTCAACAAAGTAATCCCATTACACTTAAATAATATTGATGATAACAAATCACCAACAAACCTCCCCCATTTAAGTGTAATCTTGATTAACTTAAAATGAAACATAACACCAACAAACTGATGCATAAATGAAATGTCGTGACGATTGAATTTCACATTAGTATATTAGACAATCTAAATATTCGAATATCAGGGTGTCACTAAGGATTGAACCCTTTCTATCCATAGTGAATACATGAAGATAATACACACAACAGTTTACATTCTCATAAGTTCTAACTTGACACTATATTTTACTAGCTTGTGTCCCATCCTTCAATAAGCATATCAAAGTCAAGTCCTAACTTCTTGAAGCAGCTAAACTTCATACTTATATAGGTAGTCCTTTTATTCTTGCACCTGCAAATGCAATTTTTTCAAAAGAACTATTAAGAATATAAATTCAACCTCCTTTACTTGCAGTACTGAACACATACCTTGGGATGATGATAATAATGTGTTCCAATCTTCAAATATCAGGCTTTCCACATTGAATACAACATCTAATATCACATTAGATGGGAATTGGGTATCTCAATATAAAAGATTTTAAGTGGACTTTAAGCCCATCCCTACAGCCGCGGTATGCACAAGATCTCTTGCTAATCCTTTGGTTAGATGATCGGCTAAATTCAACTGAGTTCTTACAAACTCCACAGATATCACACCAGTCATGATGAGCTCACGAATCATGCTATGTTTAACACCTAAATGTCTAGACTTTCCATTTTACACTTGACTATAAGCCTTAGCTAAGGTTGCAGCACTATCACATCTGATAGAAATGGTAGATATCGGTATGGGCCACAATGGAATCTCATAAATCAAATTTCTTAGCCACTCAGCTTCTTTACCAGCAGCAGACAAAGCAACAAACTCAGACTCCATGGTTGAGTTAGTCATACAAGTCTGTTTCTTAGAGGCCCAAGAAATGGCACCTCCTCCAAGAAGAAACACCCAACCACTAGTAGATGAGTGATCCTCTAAGTTGTTAATCCAGCTGGCATCTGAATAACCTTCCAAAACAGAACGATATACACTATAAGTTAAACCATAATTCATAGTCCCTTTTAAGTACTTGAATACTCTACTCACAGCTTGCCAATGATGTGTACTGGGATTACTAGTATATCTACTAAGCCTTCCGATATCATAAGCTATATCAGGCCTAGTACTAATCATGGCATACATGAGACAACCAATAGCCCTTGAGTATTCAAGTTGAGACACTGGAGATCCTTTATTAGGTAGAAGCTTAAGACTAGGATCTATAGGAGTGCTAACAGGAGAACAATTGTCAAAGTTAAACTTTTTCAATATCTTCTCAATGTAATGAGATTGAGAAATTGAAATTCCATTGTTTCCTTTTCTAATTCTTATACCAAGAATTACCTCAGCCTCCCCCATGTCTTTCATATCAAAACTGGATGATAAGAATTTCTTGGCTTTATCAACTTCTTCTAAATCAGTACCAAAAATCAACATATCATCCACATATAAACACATTATGACTCCTTTACCAGAAGTATCAAATTTGCTGTATACACACTTGTCAGCTTGGTTTAATGCAAAACCATTAGACAAGACAACATCATCAAACTTTTGATGCCATTGTTTTGGTGCTTGTTTCAAACCATATAATGATTTCTTCAACTTGCACACTTTGTGTTCATTCCCAGGCATCACAAACCCTTCAGGTTGTTTCATGTATATTTCCTCATCCAAGTCACCATTCAAGAATGCAGTTTTCACATCCATTTGGTGAATCACAAGATTATGTATAGCTGCAAGAGCTAATAATAATCTAATAGTGGAAATTCTGGCAACAGGAGCATAAGTATCAAAGAAATCAATACCTTCCTTTTGTCTAAAGCCT